ATAAATTGGTTTTAAAAATTTCACTTTGATTTTAATTAAACACAAAAACATATAGTTCTGGTTAAGTTTGATTCTGTTTCATTTCGAACTTAAACTGTTTATTATTTTGAGGCTGCTGAATGAATAAAAAGCGGATTAAGTTCGAACAAGGACTTTAAAAACTTTAGAGAGTAGGAAAACGGGTCTCGCTGACAATATAGGAGACGTTTTTGATAGATTGCTAGTTTCATTAGACCCTCTGATTACTTGCTCGCACTTGTTGCCAGTGGTCACCAACCGGAGATCTTTCTTTGCTGAAGCAATAGAGTTAGTAGAACTTGAAGCGAATTATATTAGTTTAACGGGGCTTGGATGGGATTTAGATTCTGACTATGTGGAATAAGTGCCGCAGTTGTCATAACTAGAAGACACCCACATATTGACAAGTTATGAATATTTTTTATTATTTAATTTTAATTATTTTTTTTATAGAAATATATTTTATTTCTTAACAAAAATCGAATATATCTAATTTTCAAACTTCGTAAAAATATCGATGTTTTTAATTAGATATTTAAAAAAGATTTCGTTGATTTTTGGCAAGTTTTTTGGTGAAGGTGTCGCTCATTTTCTCTGTATAAAAAATCGTCGAACATACTTCGTATGGAAATACGTAAGTCCTAGCTAGTAGCTACTTCAAACTTGTGCTTTAATGTACTACAATTAAATGGGTTACAAAACTGCATACTCAAAATCCTTTTAATAGTGCTTATCGTAACTATAAGACACCCACATATTGAAAAGTTTTGACTATTTATTTTATTAACCGACTTAAAAAAAGAGGAGGTTATCAGTTCGTCGGATTTTTTTTTGTATGTATGTTAACACATAACTTTGGACCACGTTAACCGATTTCGATAATTCATCGGAAAGGTGGCACCTCAAGGTTCCATACAAATTTTGTTTAGATCCGATAATTGGATCGTGAAGAAATTAACAATAATCTTAAATTTTTATATGAGAATTGAAGTCGGTTTTATTTTTTGCTCAACAATTACCTGTATTTATTTGTTTTTATAAAAATATAACTGATTTTTTAATTAATTAATGTTTTTAATTATATACATTACTTGCTTTTCGATATTTTGTATGTTAAATTTGTAAGTATCTTTAAATTTAAAACATAATGGGGCATATTCATAGTCGAATCAAAGACGAAACTAAAGATAATTTCGACTTTTTTGACAAATTTTTCTAAAAAAGTGTTTTTAGAAAGCCGAAATTATTTTTACTTTCAACTTTCTTTTGACAATGCATTTATCCCATTATGGTTTACATTGAAACGTACATTTTTTTATCAAGTATTTCCTGTCTTTTACTATCTATGTAACTGATCTCTATATCAATGGGTTCACCCGTTTCATGCTCTATCCTAGTGTTTACAACACTTTGTTACTGTTATTACATTTCGTCGCTTTTAACTTAGTTTTAGGTATTGAGAATTCATTGACGAAGCTATCCTCAAATCGAAAGAACTCGTTCTTCCAGATTATATTGTAACGTAAACTTACCTATTTACAATAAAATTAGTTGGGGAAATACTCTATACAAAAATTGGCCATCAATGGTTTAAAATATGGTCATCAATGCGTTAAATCAAAGTCGTAAATGGGTTAAATTATTCATAATTTTCACAATAATAAAATCAATTTAACTTAACATAAGATATTACAAAAAAACTGGGTCACCAATTGATTAATGCATGATCAATAATGGGTTAAGACGTCAAAAATTTACTTTTAAAAAGTAGTTCAAGCGTGAATGCCCTTATTGTGTTTTAGGCGCAGTAATTATGACAATAAGTAGTCCTACGCATTACCGACGACAAGGTAGGTAGGTAGGTGCCAGTTTTGCATATTCGCTGTATTCAGCGCTCTCAGAGTTTTGGTCAGTGTTGTCATCGCGAAATAACCTTGATCCGAATTAAGTTTTGAAACTAAAAGCCCGAATCGCACACCAGAAACAAAATCTAAAAATTCTGAATAAAAATTTTGAAATTTTGATGAATGTTTTTTTTATTATTATGATTTTATTTGGTTTATATGGTTTATATTATAGAATGGATTATATTTTCCTAAATAATCATGAAAATAATTGTGAATATTATATTAGAATGAGGTGTATACTCTAGTTTGACGCTCACAGTACATCAATCTACTTGGTTATATAAAGTTTACGATCGTGAAAATTAGAATCGTGATAAGAAAGAAACTACGTTGCCTAGTTCCGTTCAACATCTTTAACTCATTTGTTTTGACTAATCTACATAATTTCTCTATGAAGCTATTTCACTCGCTAAGCTTGAAAATTAACACATCATTTGTTTACTAATATGAAATAAACAAAAATTACCAAACAATGCTTGCTAACATACATAATTTACACGTAAACGCAATTTTTTTTTCTTTTTAAACTTTTATTAACACAACTGTTAGTTAGGCACCAAAGCTTATTGAGTTGCAATAGTAATTTTTATTTACTGGAATGTTTGCACACGTATGTATGTTTTTTTTGTAGGAACCTATTTACAATAGGACGCTCCGCATTCGAAAATCGGATCTACTTCTCCAAGTGAATTTTAAAATTTGGTCCATTATTGCTCTATTTAGCGTCAGTGGGGAGTTGGACGGGCGGAATATACTGCTACTTAATCGTTAAATTTTTAGGATTACAATTACTGTTATCGGATTGCTAAAAATCAAAATTAAAATTACAGTATTCGCAATCCCAAGTAATCAAAATGTAATCGTAGTCTTAAGTGCCCAGCTCTGGCTAGTATTACCGCGACTTTGCATTGTTCGCATGACAAGAGTTTTTTGTATTAATTTGGTCATGCAAATGAATGCATGATATTATTTTTCATTTACTTCCTTGGGCTGCGTGTTCTGTTCTTGATTTTAATTGATTTACTTTTAATGGCATTACAAAATAGGAATCTACTCAATTTTCCTATGAAGAAATAACTGAAGTAGGTATTATGCTTATTATTTATTTCCAACAAGCAAGTGAAGGAAGAATTGTAATCTACAGGGCCACAAGGGAAAGGGAAATCGAAATGTAGAATCTCTGAGCTCAGCTAGTCTATAAGTTTTGGGTTCGTTGATCACGATGCCGGTATCTACATATATCACCCCATAAAGTTTACGATCATGGTGATAGTAAAGGAAATTGAAATGAAGGATATAACCTCTAAACGACATCGAAAGGTCACCTTGGTTAAAAGATGAAACCGTATCTGCGTTGTTTGGCATACGGTACTGTCTTCCTGAAACAATATGTATTTCGTTCGGATCAAAATCTTCAATTTCAGGTCGTAAAAAGTCATTGGTCATGGCGGCATCTCGCTGAGGATTGCCAGTCACGCTGGCGGCATTGTCGTTCTCGAAAAGGTACTGCCCAATTAAGATGCCGGCTACTCAATACATCAGGTTTGCTTATAACATAGCCGGCGAGCGGTAACAATTTCATTGTTTTAACGAAATGGCAAAGCTTTGAAAAATAGCAAATGACAGGTCTTTATCAAAATGTGGTGTGCTACACCTAACGTGCGAGTGGTAGTTGTTTGTTTGTATGACTACTGGGTAGCGTCGGCGGATGTATGGGTAGACGCTCGAAGACGCAATGGTGAGACTAGATACCCAGACTAATATCTTTCGTGGTAGAGTTTAAAAAAAAATCATTTCGTAAAAATTTCGCCAGGCTTAAAGGATAGGCCATTTCGGGATTAGTTCAGAACCTTTTCGGGCCTACGTCGGGTCCGGTTCGGGCCTAGTTTGGGATTTTTCCTGCATCATTTGGGGAC